TTGTAATTCTGTCTACCACTGTATTCTGTGTTGATGGGACCGTGCTGAGCGTATTTCCTAGGAGTGCGCATGCGCAGTTGGTAAACATCGGGACTCCATTCCAGGCTGTCATTAGGTTTCCCTGAACCTCGCATCCCGATCAGTCGTCTACTGTGAGAACTTTACCTGCTGTAAAAAATATTTTATGATAATAAGCAAATCATGAATGGAGAAAATGGACGCGGAGACTCCCAGGTACTTGTTGGTTGGCATGTTTTTGATAGTTTCTAACAATTCTTTTAAAACCTGATTAAAAACGCACGAATAATAAACCACCAGGACATGAAATAACTGCAAAGAATTATGTTTCATGACTCTGAGAACTAAGTATTTTATTGCTTTTCTAGACCACTCTATGGTTATGATGGGTGTTTACTGTTTTAGTAAAACATCGTCTTCAAAAGATGTTTTAGTTGAAACTTGAACAACCGAAGCTTACCGGCATTTTAAAAATTGAATTATTAAATAAAAATTTCTCGCAATTTTCAGGTCAGCTGCGGCACTAAAGGAAGTGGTAGGTCCTCCGAAGGTGATTCTTATTCATGCTGACAGATTTTAGCCGACATTGCTTGTACCTGTCTACTGTTAGTTTTTAAAGGACAGAAATGGCGTCCCAGAGACTAAGTCCCTTCTCCTCCACTCTCTTGCGGCTATTGTTCAAAAAGAGGGGCTGTAATGCACATTTGTCACCCTCGGTTTTTGCAGTTAATGGGGTTTTCTGATAGAGCCTGGCTTCCTGTTCGTTTTGCATGCCTCAGTGTGTTGATATGAATGCGCTCATGTGATCAATTTTGGAGCCGAAAGTGGTGGAATTGGGGCTGAGGACTTAGTCTCTGCGCCATTTTCTTTTTCTGTGCAGCATCCAGGGCGCCGCTCTGTGAGCCAGCTGTCCGCCGTGATATGGAGGCTGAGCTGGGGGCTGAGAGAATCTCTCTGCCCGTACACCCCCCTGCCTCCATTTCCCTATAAGATCCATTTATCCACGCATGGCTTTAAAACTTCAAMACACACACACAAAGTTACACCTCATTACTGAGCTTCTATGTCTTGTGCTGTCATTTATACTTTTAATTCAATTATAACCTCCACCCCCCTTTTTATAAAAGAAAAGTTTAGAACACCTTTTCCTTTTGATGTCCTAATGCATAATTTCTTGACAAACATAAATAACTGTATATGCTTTATAATTCTATATTGAATACTTATAACYAATTTTCCACAATTATATAGGCAGTAGTTGAGTTTGCATTATTGATTTTCAATAAATGCCACCAAAATCATACTGATCCAATACTGATACACTGTGCAAACCCAGAAGAAAAAAAAAAAGAAGAAAAAAAGTTGTGTATTTCAAATCACCACTTCCTAAAGAATACAAGACATCTGGGTAATTTATTAATTTTAAACCAATTAGAAGACACAGTCAAACAAAATATGTGAAAACATAAAACAATAAAAACATAAACAACAACAAAAAACTAGGTAAAATTATAAAACCATTAAAATAAATTATTGTTTGATTATCAAGAACTACTACACAAATGAAAACTTGAGTCTGGATTTATATTACATGAACATAATGGCATCAATGCACTGAACACAGATTGAGCATGCAGTGCTTACACATTCCCTCCTGAMATGACTGAAGTATCAAAGTATCAATATTTTGATTTTTGATCAAATTTAGATTTATTGATCCACACAYAGCTAGTTTGCATATTTGAGGTGTTTCACACAGTGTTTTATTTGTTTTAACATGTAAAGCTGCAAATAAATGTCAATAACAGCTTTAATTTTAGAATAAGCGTGATGTTTGGTGCTTTGAATATGTTGCTCACCACATTGTAAATTAAAAGCTGTTTAAACCGTGCAAAGTCAAGTGAGTACTGTCTATATAATTGTGGAAAACATGTTGTAATATAAGCAGTGAACTTAAAAAAATTATAAAGCATACACACGCTAAATATAACCACTCATCATGTAGGTAGGTCTTTTAAGGAACTCAAACTCACTGTCTAGTGCAAAATAAAGCTATTGTTAAGCCTATCAAGTTGGCATCATCTTATATCATTTTATTTTATAGCATTCCAGCTTTACTTATTACACCCAGGTCCAGTCAGGTTTGATTTGGTCCAAGTTTTGCTTAAACTGGATCAATCACTGGGTCAAAGATGAGCTGAATATCTGGGTAAACCTACAAAGCATATTAGCCAACAGCTTTAGCCCAGTGATTGTTTTAGGGTGTATTTAGGCCTACATTCTGATGTTGTTAACTACCATATCTTTGCCAATATTTTGTAAAAAAAAAAAACACCTTATTTCAAGTACTCACAATGGAGTAGTTTATAATTTGTGTGCAAACTGCACTTTTTCATCCTCAGCAATTTTTTTTAACGTGTTAAAACATTGAACTTTTTAGAAAGAAGTCACTGTGTGGCTAAAATACAGACACCACTAACAGGCTAACAAACTATTGCAAACTGATTGATAGTTTGTTTTTCTTTTCTTTGTAATTTTAGCAGTGTTGTATGAAGTACCACAAAGTGATAYTTGAGTAAAAGTACAAGTATCTTACCAAAAAAATCACTTTGGTAAAAGTTAAAGTCTCCTTTAGGAATATTACTAGAGTAAAAGTACAAGTATTTTACCAAAAATACTTTGGTAAAAGTTAAAGTCTCCTTTAGGAATATTACTTGAGTAAAAGTCTTAAAGTGTCTGATATTTATTGAACTTAAGTATTAAAAGTAAAAGTATTGATTTAAAATGAGCAGTTAGATTTTACATAATGACATTTATTAGGAGGTGACCTCCCCCCCAAAAAATGCAGAAATGACTGTTGTATTAAAATAATTAATTTATGTTAAATTTAGGATGCACTAGTCTAGCTGTTTCAGTTTATTTATATATATATCAAGGCTGCCCAAACATTTTCYCCAAAATAAAAATCTATCTGAGGGCTGCGGCCAAATGTAATAATATACTGTAATTCATGAAATACAAATACTTCTTAAGTACAGTCCTTTTATTTTAATGATTATGTCCTGCTGGAGTGTGACATGATTTGTTTGTGTTCAAACTACGGTATCAGAATTTTATATACTCCTCATTCAACCACAATTAAATTCACTCTATCTAGGAGGCACAGTTTATATGGATAATGTTTATTTTTTTACAATTACAATCTGGAATGAAAACAAGTAATGAAATAAAAGTAACGACTTTCTACTTCTTGCCTTTTTAAAAAATCTAAGGAGTAGAAAGTACAGATAATTGGGTTAAAATGTAAGAAGTAGAAGTAAAAAGTAGGCTGAAAAATAATTACTCAAGTAAAATGCAGATACAGATAAATTCTACTTAAGGACAGTACAGAAGTATTTGTTAGTTACTTTATAACTCTGAATTTAAGTATCAGCCGAAAACATTTTATTCACATACTTGCATAAAATTGGATGAAAAAGAACCTGCTGAAATAGTCTGTCTGTTTGCTTGTGTTTTGTTGCTTGTTTCATTCCTTTGCATTGTGAAAATGTTCTGAGAATTTGTCTTCGTGTACCTGTTTTGCAGCGCTGACAACTTTTTTCTTTTTTTTTTTTTTTTGTCTTCCTGCATGTCAAACCCTTTTAATGTTTGCATCATACCGTATACAAGGGAATCATCACCCACTGGTAGTCTTAACATATTGTTAGACGAGCCATGTTGTGTATTATATTGTGTTRTTTTTTTAATGCTGTTGTACAGATTAAGCTCTATTGTGTTGCAGACTCTCACAAACATAAAGACAAGCACAAAGAAAAGGAACACAGACACAAAGATCACAAGAAAGACAAAGAAAGAGATAAAATAAAGCACAGCAACAGGTAGGATAATGCTTTTCTCTTGCTGTTTGGCGAACAATAAGACGGCACTCGAATCTGTGTTTATTTTTTAAAATCTGTTTTCTTATCGCTTAAGTTTTACGTGTCCTCGTACCAACATTAAAATGAAGAAAATGAAAACTGAAACGGTGGTAGGCTGCAGTTAATTAACGGAGATATACTTCTTTTTTGGCTGTGGTCTATGGTGCTGCCTTTACATGTTAAAAATGATGGTGGTTGTGTGTCAGCAACATCCTCGGTGTCTATCTGCTTCTTTTGATCCTTTGCATTTGA